TCACTGGGATTTGAACTCTAGACCTGCCACTTGGGGGTTGACAACCTATCCACTTCACTAGGTCACCACACTCCTTAGTTACACAATAGTTAATTATAAGCTTATACATATATACATACATATATAACAGTCTGATATTTATACATAGCCATTGAAATCTATTTCAACTAGACAAAGAACTTTTGATAAATTGAGTTAAACCAAATTCACCTCTTCAGGTCATATTGAACTGGATAATCTAAAACTCTTACAATTAGATTTTTAATTTCTTGAGATATTATTGCAGTAAGTATAATGATTATTAATTAATTATATTATTTAATTGCTTGTAGATTTAATTGAATCATTGAAAATTGAACCAGATAGAGCAGAAACATATAACATAATGAAATGATATAAAAAATCTTGCAGATTTAATTAAATAAATCATTAATGATCAAAACAAATAATGCAGTTATATAAAAGAATTATAGAGTAACTATTATATAATAGGTAGATATTAACAATCTTTTAGACTTAAATGAATTAAAAAATTGTAAAAAAACTCATCAAATGATAAACAAATATTAAGAATCACTAATTGTAGAACTACATATATAGCAACATTTAAAGTTTATTTTATATCAAAACAGATGAGCAGAAATTAAGAAATAGACTGATCACAAAAAGTGAGTTTAAAATTACAGAAATCAAACAAATATATATGCATTATTACTTGTATATTTAATCAAATTATCAGTGTTGAAAAGTTAGTTCCAACTCTAGTCTAATTAAATAATGTTATAATAGTTATGCACTATCATAATTACTATATAGCAAACCAATCAAGCTTGCTGCTTAAATTCACCCTTTAAACAGGTCATTAAAAATTAACCCAAATAACATACTTGCTTAAAATAACTACAAACACTAAAATTATTGATATCTGTGCCTGGCAAATTTGTTCATAAATATTTTATATATAAGTGATAATTTGATTTTAGCTTTTATAATAACAAATTTATTTTAAGTTAATATCTCTAGCATTATCAGAATCAACATTCACTTATTTGTTATTCTCATCTTTTTAGATCACTAAATTCACAATTCATATTGCTATGAATTTCTTTATAATCTTAGTATATTTTATGACCAATTCTTCTAATGTAAGACATTAATTATTACCAAAAATCTGTAGAAGTAGGACATGCTATTAAACATTTCAGGTTAGTTATTGTTATCAAATAGAATTAATGTTGAAAAAAATTTAGCAAAGATGAAATATGCTAATGGAACATTTTAAGTTGAATGTTGTTATTGAAATAGAATTGAGGCTGAAAAAACATTGGCAAAGCTGGGGCATTCTAGTAAAACATTTTAAATTAGATATCATTAACAAAATAGTATTGAAGCTGTAAAAAAACTATTAGAGATAGAACATGTTAGTGAAATATTTTGGATTGGATATTGTTGTACCAATTGAGTTAAAAAGAATGAACATAATGCATTCATCTATTATCAAAAATCAGCAAAGGTGGAGCATACTACATAGTAAAACATTTCAAGATATATACTATTATCAGAATGGAATTGGGCTGAAAAAAAATCAGTAGAGCTAATGAAATATTTCAGGTTAGAAATTGATATCTCAATAAAATTGGTGCTGAAAAAGATAAATATAAGGCATTTCATTTATTATCAAAAACTAGTAGAGATAGAGCATGCTAGTAGAATTTTGGGTGTATTATTAAAATAGAATTGGAGCTGAAAAGAATGAATACAGGGTATTTGTTTATTATCAAGACTCAACAGAGATGGGTATAATAGTGTAATGATTCAGGCTTGATATTGTTATTTTAATGGAAATTAAAGTTAAAAGGAGATATTAATTTACTATCAAATTAACAAAGGTGAGTTATGCTAGTAAATAATTTCAGGTTGAATATTACTATCACTATTCAGCACAATTATATGACTTTACAGATATGCATGTCTGCAAAATTATATAATAGTATTGAATGGCAAATTAAAAATCTGCAGAAGTTTATTAGTATATAGAACATTTCAGGTTAGATATCATTATCAGAATTGAAATTAAAGTTGAAAAGGATAAAATATAATGCATTTATTTATTGTCAAATATGGATATATTAGTGATATATTTTAGCATGGATATTGTTTCCTAATGAAATTGGTATTGCAAAAAATCAGCATATTGGTAAAACATTTCAGGTTGGATATTGTTATCTCTATTAAATTAAAGTTAAAAGAAGACATACATAGATAAAATGTATTTATTTATTAGCAAAATCAGCAGAATTTGAGCATACTGGTATATACATAGAATATTTCAAGTTGAATATTAAAGTTTGACAATTAATTTGCATTAGTCAATCAAACAAATTTCTGCTTATAACTTTGAAATTTCTACATATGTATATAAACATTTATGGTTTAGGCCAGTTCAGGTTTGACTCAAACCCAAAACCTCAAGACAGCAACTTGAAAAAAGGTTTAAAAAACTGTATATAAAATCTGATATTGGTTATTTTCATTATTTATAACAATTATACTGCTTTATATTGTTAACTGAAATGGCCAATTTGACATTAACAACTTTATGATACATATTCAAAAACAGTTTTTTTCTATTCATATTAATATTTATATTTATTTTATTAAATAGCAAAAATTACATATTGTATACAAATTATTTTTTTTTCTAAAAAATTTGATTTTTTTTTTAAAAATGAAGATGGTGGTGATAAAAGTGATTATGGTGACAAAATGGTAGATGTACTTGAGGAACTAAAAATAATAGACTCTATTTCTGTAAAATCATCAGTATTATGTAATATTTTATATATAATGCAAGTTATTGCTATTCTAAAAGAAAGTAAGTTATGAATTAGAGAATAAACTTTTGCCAGGTTAGTTGATAGAATATTCAAAGAGATTTCTATTTTACTAAGTAATAAGACTCTATATACACGAGATTCTTTGTACATAAAGTGAAATTCTACAACATTCTCAGCAATGTTGATTGTAAATATTGACATATAACTTAATGCCATATTTTTAAAATTTCTCTTGTTTCTTGCTGATTTAACTTCATTAATAGAATCTTTGCCAAATTTATTCAGTTTTTTGTGGTCATGTATTTTTTTTTTAAATAATAATTTTGGATGACCTGTTTCAAGATATCCAATCTCAACTTCTTTGGCATCTATTTAAGCAATAATCATATAATTAGAGCATTTTACTTATTTATCTGATCCCTTTCTTTCTGCACTAGCTAAACTTGTTTTTTCTTCCCTATTTTATTTAAAATTATGTTAGCATTTTGAATAATAAGAATAATTAAAGTAATTATAATATACCATGTTCCCTATATATTAGAATTTATTGGCAAGTTACTTATTATAATGTTTATTAATGGTGATAAAACTTCTGACATGTAAGATCCCTCATTTATAGATGACAATCTGTTTCCTATACATACTTTTCACTTAGGTGATTCCCAAACCTGACTTAGCACTTTTAATATTTGATTTGTTAGCTTCTGCAATTTCTTAGATTTATCTAAAAATTCATCAAACAACACATCTTTATATACTTGAAAAGATTTAAGATGCTTTTCTTGTTCTTTTCAAAAGAAATTTTTACAAATATTTACTAATGCACTATTTTCAGGTAATTCAAATTTCTTACTTGGTTTTCTAAAAGTCTTTTGTGATTTTAAGCTTATATCCTTTAATGGTTTCAAACTATTATCAAGAATTTTAGAGCATAATGAGTAGTTATATCCCAACTTCTCCACTTCTATGCCTTGCAAGTTGTCTTTTATATCTTTCTACATGTTGTTTTTGTCTTCTGATATTTTCAATGCAAGCTAATTTCATGTTCATCAGCCTATTGATTGAAACTTTTTAAGCAAATTAATTGTTTATATAAATATAAACCTAATGTACATTATTTTTTAAAGTATTAAAATTTTTTGTCACATCAACCACCCAAGGTGTTTTTATATGCAGAAAATTTTTAATTATTTAGATCTTTAAAATTTTACTTAGTAGTGCAAACTGCTTAAACTGAGCTATGAACTAAATGGCTAAGCTAAGCTATTTAACAGCTTAGCTACAAGGTTATTAATAAAGTATTTGAATCAAAAAATGACAACTCAAAACCTTAGAACTGTAAACTGATAGATTTTAATTGCATGATTATTAGCAAAAAGTAAATTTCTAGCATGGCTAATAAAAATTTAGTTTAATTGTTAAATTATAGAATGAAAATTGAAAGCTAGAAACTAAGAAACAGTTTTGCTTACTTAAACACAATTACTTCATAGATACCTTATTTTATAAACAATTAATTCAGAGATAAATTCATATTAAGAAAAATTAACCCATAAACAAGTTTATTTTTTATTTATGAATTAATTGCTATAAAATAAAGTGTTTATAGAAGTCACCCATCTATGAGAATTGCTTGGTCTAGATCAAATTGATTAGAATAATGGCTCAGCTCTGATCTGCAAAGCAGAAGGATCAGCTCAGTTTAATAAAATTGGTTGTGAGTCAAATTGAGCCAACCTATTTGCATTACCAACTTCATCAAATAAATGTATATTGAAAAAATATTTAATTCTAATAAAAGAACAAATGTATTCAACTGCATCCAATATCTAAAATAAGCAAATAAATAAATTAGCAAAAAGAAAAAGTAATTATGCAATAATAAACCCAAGTACATGCGATCAGATTAGTTTTCTTTTTTATATAAATTTCAAGTTAAGTCAGCTAATAACAAAATATACCTCTGAAGAATATACATATAGTATTTATATATATAAATAGCTACTTCTGATGTTTTTTCAAAATTATTCAAAAAGCTGAAGTACATTTGCTATTTATATACTATCTTTTATATCATCTACATTAGTAATTGAAAGTGGTAGAAAAATTTAATCCTATCTCTCAAGTTATTATATATATATATTATTTCTATAACTTCCAGAAGAAAACTAATCTTTCATCATATCAAATAAATTTATTATAAATCAATTATAAATATAGCTCACATATATATAGTTCTAAAAATTCATTCTCAAAACTATGCAGCTTTTTCAACCTCTTCTTATCTTTTACAAGTTTCACTACTGTGTTGAATGTCTTTTTGAAGTTCTTTAGTTCAATCTCTTTATTACCCATCTACTTTCCTGATTCAACTCACTTATATAAAGCAGTAAAGATAGTAATGACAGAAATAAAAGTAAAAGAAATAAGAAAAGCCTCTATTTTTAATTCATGAAATAAAAAAATATTATTAGAATTTGCTATGTAAGAAGGTAATTACTATGTAAAACAAAAAAGAAAGAACAAATAACCATAACTTCCCTTTTTAAATGGCCAATACATACGTATGTACATACATATACATTATACATATGCCAACTTCACATACAGAATATGATTATAGATTTATTTATGTATATACATACATATGTACATACATATATATATACTTAGAATATATTAAGTAAATTAATTTCATGTATGTATCATTATAAAACTTTGAGACTTTTGATCAAACCTTAAATAATTAACTAAATTCAACAAGAAAGTCTCATTCTAATTTCAAGATCCAGAAATAATTTTTTTTTTTAAAAGAAAAAAACTGTTACATACTAATATAAATGTTGACTCATAAATATTATATATAAGACTTGCAGGTTTCTCTTATATATGTGTACATATGTATATAAAAACTATTTTTATCTGATAACATATGTATATGATAATTTTGAAAATTTTGTGACTTTTTAAACATAGGTATGCATATTGTTTCCATACTTGGAGGTTTATGCTATATAGAATTCCAATAGTTTTGGTTGTACTATCTAGGAAGATTATTAGTCAACCTATGTACATATGTATGTAGGAAGATTTGGTATGTACATATATACGTAGAGGTTTTTTATAAATAATATTAAGGTTTAAACTTTACATCACAAAATAGAAGATTCAAATCTATCCGACATAAAATTTTGATAAGAATTGAGAATTTTTTGCTATTGTTACAGGGTTGTAGCCTTCTTGGTACAATACAACCAAGTAACAAGGTCACCCGGTACAGTGATTGACTATTG